GCTGAAACTTGAAAACCAAGTCTCTCCCCCGTATATGACAGGCTCAAAATACTTTTTCTTCCTGTATTAATTCAATTTGTAATAAGAGTTTTTAAAAAGAGATGTGATATTAGAAGATAGCATCTTCATTAGTTTGTCTTTCCTGGAGATACGTCATGTATGCAAATATCTGTAACATTTATAATACCACATTCATCCTGACAAAATGAAACAAACTGTCTGGATGAAAGAAACAGTATCAGAGCTAGCAGGTGGTGTGGAGGTTAAAGCACTGGACTCTCACATGGCTGACAGCAGTTTGAGTCCCAGACCTGGGCGTCCCGGCTTGCTTTCTCACTTTCCTCTCTGTTGAGCACATGTGCCCTGCAGCAAATAAATAAAATTATTCTTTTTTAAAAAAAGAAGCAATATCTAGGTGTTCTACCTCTCAGGCTACTGCTTTCCTCCCCTCCCCCCCCTTTTTTAAAGGTTTTTTGCCATAGTGCACTCCCAGAGAGAAAGGAGGAAGGGGGAGGAGGAATGGGGAGAGAAAAGTCATCCCCCGGGGGGGATGGCCATGTTGCACATGTGCTTAGCATGAGTTTCAAGCCATTGGGTCTGGGACTCAACCTGGGTGATCATGTGGGAGTCTCGCACACCGCCTGCTGGGCTCAGGCTACTGCTTTCTTAGTATACCTTTTTAAATATCAGACTTTGAATGTATCTGGCAGTGGCAAACTAATGTCGAATTCTCAAATCCAAAAAATGAGTTTAAAATTAATTCAGGTACTTAAAATCGTGCCTAGACTTCTGCAAGAATCAAATCACTGGAAAGATGACCTATATCTAATCCAGATGAGTAAAAATCATAAGGCAAAAGAATGTGGTGCTCTTTCTATGTTCTCCCATGACTAAGCCACCCCCAACACACAATTAAATACCTTTATCATTACTCCTGAGAATGAGATTTAAATAGAATTTGAAACCGATATGAGAGAGCTGTACTGTTTAATGCTTTGTCTGTTTAAATCTGTGAGAGAAAAACACTTGACTTCCTTGGGGGGGGGAGGCTAAAAAGTATGTGTGTGGAGTCACTGGGAAGACAGGACATAAGGGCCTCAGTTAATAAAGAGGCTGAATTAGGTTTTAAAGCCTTCTAATGCTAATATATCTCTGTCCAACAATCCAAAATCTGAAACTTTTTGGGCTAACATGACTCCAGAAGTGGAAAATTCTACATCTGACCTCACATGCGGGGAGATTCCATACAAAAAGTCAGTTTTTTGTATTACCTACAGGCTATGTTATGTATATGAAGCACATAAATTAACATGTCTCATGATGTATATTCAACTCTTGTGAGACTAGGGAAAAACTGAAATCCGAAACGCGTTTGGTTCCATACATTTTTTAAAAGAGATTTTTGCTGTAGAGCACGTGCGCTTGCTCGCTGGAGAGCTAGACAGAAAGCGAGAAATCACCCCCTAAGAGGGATGGGCACACTACAATCCCTTCTCCATTCATCTCTGGGGATTTTGGGCACGCACGCAGACGCCCTGCATGATTTTTACCAGTCCAGGACTCGAACCACTGTTGACTACGTGGGAGTCCAGCGAAGTAAGCATTACGTCATCTGCTGGTCCCGGTCCCAAGCATTTCTGATAAAGGAACTCAACCTGTATATGAAAGACAGAACCGCCCCTCAGTGAAAAGCAGAAGCAGCTACTGGACTTGTTCTCCGGGCCTTCAAAATAAACAAGCTAGGGCAAGGATGAATGATTTCACAAGGTTTGTTCTTTTCTATTGATAAAAAGGACACAGCCGTTCAGATCGATACTAGAATACTATTAGTTTATTCACCACAATGAAACCATGTAGAGGGCCGTGTACACGCGGCTAACCCTGGAAACGAGTAACCAGAATGAGGTTTCACTGTCCTAAACGAGCCCCGAGAGCAGACGAAGTTTCGCAGTAAACTGCGCTTGCCACTCGGCCCTCCGAGCACAGCTCGGCCTGTCCAGGCGGTGACCGATCGCCCCTCTGCGGCACCCGAGAGCAGCCGGAGGCCGGGAGGACTCGCTGGCTTCCAGCCTTGCCAAACCCGACCTCCACGCAGCCCGAGAACACCTCGCCCGCCCCTCGGCGCGGCCCGCGCGCTCCCTTCTTCCCGTCTCACGGGG